GGGCGTCGCGGTTTTTGTCTCTAATGCTTGCGAGCGCGTATGTTCATAACTATGAAATCTGAATTTTTATTTTGAATGCTCTGAAATCACAATCAATTCTAGAAGACAATTCTGAATGCTCTGAAATCCTATTCAATTCTGAAGGATGGCTACCATTCCCAGGAGAATGTGGTGCACAAATGGTGCAGTCCGTTGTGCGCACAACTTTGATTCCATTGAGATCTACGCTCTGCGTTCACAGAGTCGTCAATGCCTTTCTCTCTCTGCAGGTCCCCCCCCCAAAAAAAAAATCCGACGAGGCCCCTCAGTGCTGGCTTAGAAAGAGCCCACTGAACCATTATGACATTTAGAGCGTCGGTGCTTTTATTCCATGAAATAATTTAACGTCGGACAATAGCACTGGTTTTATTTATGTGAAACCCTGTGTTAGACATCACAACTGCATGGAATTATGAGGCAATGCGCAGGGATGCCAGTTGTGCTTTACGTCAGTTTCATCCCATTCCAAGGAACTTCGTGCGCCAAACACTGCCATCACCAGTGCTGCCGAGTGCGTCCTACCGCCTCACTGTCGTAAACACCGCGGCGGCGACGGGTGCTGCGTTTCTATCGAGTTTCTTTTGCTGCGTTTTAGATGAATATGTTTTCGCCAGTTAAATCGAACCTTCGAACGTACGACCATCATCAGTGTGGTCCAGGCTTGGACGTGGTGGGGTTGGTCCAGTGCGGGTGAGCTCATTGAGCATCGAGCATGTGTGCAGAAGTATAATTGCATGGCCACTGACGAGCCAACTCAAGCAGTCGCGCTGCTACGATCAACTTGCATTTCGCGTGACATTGACATGAGGGCCGTTTTGTTTGTCACCCGCTCAAACTGAATTGGGAGAGGGTCGCTTACCGTTCAGAGGCACAGGATCGTGGAACAGGGTACGTTGAAATATGCTGAGCACAAAAAAATATGCTTTTGACCCATCGGCTTGCCGGAATCTCTCGTCGGCTCACAATAATGTGCTGTCGGAATCACTCATCGGCTCGCTGGAATTTCTGGTCGGCTCACAGTACTTACCTATCGCCGTTACTAATCGGCTTACCGGAATTTCCCATCGGCTCACAATACTTAGTTGTCGGAATCACTCAACGGCCCGCTGAATCAACGTCGGCTCACAGTGCTTAGTTGCCGGAGTCACTCATCGGATCGCTGGACTTTGTCGGCGGCTCACAATAGTTAGTTACCGGAGTCACTTATGGTTTCGTAGCTATCTCAAGGATCGATAATAAGCTTAACGTATTTTCTCGCATTGAATAATGACGTCGCAATGATGAAGTTTTAGGGTTTAAAATTGCCGAAATATGCAAGAATGTAAAAAGGGTCCCTTTTAAAAGCTCGGGACAAACCGTCCCTACACTGGGTCAAAGCACTCCCCCCCCCCCCCCCCCCTGTGAAAGCTTTACTTTGGCACTTCTTTGCGTTCGTTTCATCGCCTACCGGACAACGTATCAGGTTTAAAATGTGAGCATTTAAA